CCTGTTGAGAGCAGATGGCAGCGTTTTCTAAGATGGACATTTATTGCTCTTTCCGGCAATCAGATTCGTGCAGAAGTCGCTGGGCAGTAGGGAAGTCAGAACACCCCGTGAGCGACCGTCTCCGGGACCCTTCCCGCCATTGCCATGTGGGGCTTGGGGACGCCCTTCTCCTGCTTCAGGGCCTTGGTTCAGTGCACCTGCCCCAGGAGTCAGAGGACAGCTCTCGGGCACAGGCGTGGCATGGTCGAGAAGGCAGCCTCTGGCCCCACTGCCAGCTCCCGTGCCACACCCGCCATCCTCACCCGCATCTCCTGGCTCGCCCTGCTCTCGAACTTGTCCACTCTGGGTCCACAGGTGGCCCCACCACGTGCTGTGTTCTTCCTCGGTCGCCTCTTGTCCACCCTGACACTTGCTGACTGCAATGACGTGGATTTCTAGTGCATGAACCGTTGTTGGGTGTCTCTCATTAGCAGCTGTTCTAACACACACACACACACACACACACACACACCCGTACACCCGTGGATGCTTGTGGACATCTCACGGTGGTCTCTGCCTTTCTGTTGACTATTTCTGTGCATGTGCGTGCAAATGAACCCCACCCAGAGCTCACCCTGCCTTTCACCCTCCCACTGCCCCGGTCCTGGGGCCACTTTCTGTTCTGGCTAACTGCCTCGACTGTTCTTTCCACTTGGGTTTCACCTCTGCCCTGTAATATGAGGGTGCACCTTGGGGTGTCTTTAAAGGCCCGTAGTCTGCCTGCCACGTCAAGTTCTTGATCTGTTCTTAAATTGATGATTTGTGGCGCCAGGGATGGAATTAAGGCCTTCCGTATGCCAGGGAAGTGTTCTGCTTTTGCTCAGCTACATCCCTGGCCCCGTGTGTATTTTGCTTTTCGTTATTCTTTTTGCTTTTGAGATAGCCACGCCAGGCTGTGCTCAGCGACTACTCCTGGCTTTGTGCTCACGGTCGCTGGTGGTGCTTGGTTGACCCCACGTGGTACCGGGAAGTGAACCAGGAGCAGCATGCCGGGCCAGCACTCCCTCCCTTTCGCCCCAGGTTGAACCTCAGGATCAGTTTTCTAAATGGCCCCTGCTGCTACTCCTGTGCTTGCCTTTGGCGTTGATGTCCGGGCAACTGCCGATCCTCAGTGTTTGGGGTCTCTTGCTGCAAGAGGGGCACTGCCTGGGGAGTAGGCCTGTCCTTCCTGTCTCGGACTCCAGGTGTGCTGCTGGGGCCGCCGGGTGGTTGCAGTGGGTTCTGGCCGGCTGAGTGTCACCCACCAGGCTCCCCCCCCCCCCCCCCCCCCGGGTCCTGACCTTCCCTGAGCTGGAGTGAGCGGACTGAGGAATGAACAAATGAATCTTGTGTTTGGTGATGGTAGAAATAGTTGAGGCTGAATTAAGAAGCTTGATGATTCTTGGGCCAGAGCAGTAGTACAACAGGTAGGGCGCTTGCCTGTAGACAGCTGACCCAGATTCAATCCCCAATACCATATGTGATCCCCCAAACCTGCCAGGAGTGATCCCTGCACAAAGAGCCAGGAGTCAGCCTTTAGCATCGCCAGGTATGACCCAAAACCTCAGTAACAGAAAGAAGTTTGATGATACTTGTGTGACCAGAAATTCGCTGTAGGAACAAAGTCTAGTTATTGAGATAGTGAAGGCATTACTAACCTCAAAGTATATAGCAAAAAGAATGAATTCTTTTCTGTTTAACCAGTTTTCTTGTTTCTCCGTATTTGGACCACACCCAGCTATGTTCAGGGGTTATTCCTGGCTCTGCACGCAGAAATGACTCCTGGTGGTTCTTGGGAGACTGTTGGATGCTAGGGATTGAACCCGGGCCTGCACACGCAAGGCAAATGCCCTGCTGACTCTGTTATCGATCCAGCTGCAGGCAATGAATTCTTAGGACATCACTTTGCCTGTGGCCAAGTTGAATTTGCTTTTTGTCATTTCCTGTCATTTCTTTGTCAGACCTGCCAACCATATAAAGCGCACAGAGCATTGCTGGGCATGGCCCGAAACGCAGACCAAGGGGACAGTGGGTGTTTCTTTTATTTTCTGGGAGAGTCTGTGTTTCCTCAGTATCTGATAGAGTTTACCAGTGAAGCTGATGGCCTGGAGCTTCCATTACGGCAAGGTCTGGTTGTTTCTTGGTGTGCCAGGGATGGAAGCCAGAGCTCACGCCTGTGAGACCTGTGCCGTACTGTTGAGGCACATCCCTGACGACTGATGCAGTCAGTTGGATTTTTTTAAATTTCTTTTTGGGTCACACCCAGCAATGTACAGAGGCTACGCCTGGCTCATGAGCTCAGGAATCACTCCTGGCTCAGCTCAGGGGACCCTATGGGATGCTGGGAATCGAACCCGGGCCGGCCGCGTGCAAGGCAAACGCCCTCCCCGCTGTGCTGTCGCTCCAGCCCCTCAGTTGGATTTTCCAGACATGGCCTTCAGGCGCGCTCTCGTGTGGTGCCTCGTGAGTGCCTCCGAGGAGCGTGTCCGTTTCCTCTGCCCCCCGGAGTTCCTGCATTTCCTCTCATGGTGGCTCTGTCCCTCCCTTGTTCTTTCCCGGCACTGGTCATTTCTGTAGGAGCCACTCGTGGAGACCTGAGGGGCCGTGCTGGGGGCAGTGCCGTGAGGAGCCACACGTGTGCCGGTGTGGGCCCAGCTCTGGAGGCGTCTCCGTTCAGGCGTTGTCGCTACTTCACACATTTTATTGCTCTTGTTTTTTTCTTTTTGGCTTTTCTTTGGGGGGGGCACACCCAGCGATGCACAGGGGTTACTCCTGGCTTGGCTTTGCACCCAGGAGTTATTCCTGGCAGTGCTCAGGAGACCGTAAGTGATATTGGGAATCAAACCCAGTCGGCCGCGTGCAAGGCAAACGCCCTCCCCACTGTACTATCGCTCCAGCCCCTGTATTGCTCTTGTTAAAGAACCAGTAATGACTGGTCTCGCTGGTCCCCCACGCCCCCTTCCCCCATTGAATTGTTTTTGCCGTTTTGGTGGGGGGACGGGGGAATGCCACACGTGGCGCTACTCGGGGTTCACTCCTGGCAGGGGTTGGGGGACCATTTGTGGTGCCGGGGGCTCTGTGCAAGGCAAGCGCCTTACCCCTGTTCTGTCTCTCAGTCCCCTGGTTTTGTCTTTCGCTGTATTTTCTTTTCCATCCATTTATGTGGGATAAAATTTTCTTTCGTTTGAAGTTTTTTTTTTGCCTCCTGTGACTCCATTCCTGTGTGTTTGTTTTGGATAGCCACACCCAGCGATGCCGGGGTCACTCCTGGCCGAGCCCAGCAGACCATACTGAATACTGGGGACCAAACCTCGGTCCACTGATACAAGGCAGGCGCTTTACTGCTGTATCTCCTCAGCTCCTCCCTGTGACTCAATATAGAAATGTATTTTAGGGGCCAGAGCAAATAGCACAGCGGGCAGGGCGTTTGCCTTGCATGCGGCCGGCCCGAATTCCATCCCCGGCATCCCATATGGTTCCCTGAGCACCACCAGGAGTAGTTCCTGAGTGCAGAGCCAGGTGTGACCCACCCCACCCTGATCCCCGCCAAAGAAAAGAAAAAGTATTCAGAATGATTTGGGTGCCATTTTCCAGGTGCCAACACGTTGCGAATTTCTCTTCAGCTCCCCTGTTGTCCGAGACCGTGCTTTGTGGCTTCAGTCCTTTCCATTCCAGAGCTCTGCTTAGTTAGATCCAGGAATGTCGTGTCTTAGGACAGCTCCGTGACTCCATGGCAGTGGCACCTGCCGGCCTCGCTCCTGGTGGCCCCTTGCCTTAGTGTCAGTGCTCGGTCTTGGATTGAGGCGGTAACTTTCTCTCCGCGTGTTTGGCTGGGCCATTTGGACTCTGACTGAGAGCATGCCGACCCAGTCATCCTCTCGCTCTCAGAGATGCCCTGGTGTGCTGGGGTCTGGGGAGGCTCTCGGAGCCATGCAGGTCGGCTGGGGTCTTGGAGCTGCCCTGTGGTCACCAGGCACCCAGCTGGCCGAGGGACCGGCAGCGACCCTACCAGCTGCCTGAGAGCAGCAGGTGACCTAGCCAGGTACCATCCAGGACTGCCCTGCTGCTCATGTGCCAGCAGGGGAAGCCACTGCCCCTGTTCCTCACTGGGTCTGGAAAAAGGCCACGTGGCTGGCACTGTCTGCAGCAGGGCCGGATGGAGATGGGTTGGCATGAAGGGCAGTGGAGGCCCGTGGTCAGCCCCTCTTCCCTCCTTCCACAGGCAGGGAGCGTTCCCGAGAGGGCCTGGCCCTGCGCACCTTCTCTGACTTGCCACTAGGAGGAAGGACTCCGTTGTGATCCCTTTTTGTCTGTGTCTGTGTCGAACATTTCCTAGCTTAGCTGGAAGGTTCCCAGTTCCTATTTTCTGTCTCCATTTTCACACCAAAGCACAGTGAAAATGTAGCTGAGGTTATCGGCCTGGGTTTCCCTGAGGAGCCTGCGGGGCGAGGGCAGAGATGCGGGCCCGGACCAAGCTCTGAGCCGGGTCTGGGTTTCCGTACGCTCTTCCCGCGAGTCTCCTCTTAGCTCTCCTCATTTCACATGCAGGGCACCTTCAACGTATAAGTAGGTCGCCAGAAGAGCCAGGGGCACATTTTCCGACTCAGCGTCCCAGGATGAGTTTCTCTCTGTCAGCTGTAGGACAGCAGAGGTTTAGGCAGAATGGGGTGTTTTGTTGGGTTTTTTTTTTTTGTCTTTTTGGGTCACACCCGGCGACGCACAGGGGTTCCTCCTGGTTCTGCATTCAGTCAGGAATCACCCCTGGCGGTGCTCAGGGGAGACCCTATGGGATGCTGGGAGTTGAACCCTGGTTGGCCACGTGCAAGGCCAACGCCCTCCCCGCTGTGCTGTTGCTCCAGCCCCTAGGCACGATGTCGATTCAGCGCTTAACCTGCCGTCTCTCTCTGGACAGTGTCCGCGACTCGTCATGTGCTCGCCAGGACAGCAGCCAGTCTCAGCTTGAGGACAAGCCCCGCGGCGTGACCGTGTCTGCACTGGAGCGGGTTGCGGAGCTCCCGGACAGGCCGTGCCTGTGATGCGATGCCAGGGTGTCACTGGTGCTGGCGGGCAGTGAGACGCGTGCGTGGCCGGATTCGTAAACACCCCGAGAGATAGAGCTGTTCGCAGAAACTGAAGCCCCGGCACGTCTGGACCCGATTGTCCCACTCCAGGAGATGGCCGCGAAGTAGAGTAGTTATGGTCAGCCATGGAGAGTGACCCAGAAACTGGTCCCAGAGAGGGTCGTGGCTTTCTGTCCGATCAGGTCCGCTTTAAAGTCGAAGAGGAAGATGACGACGGGATTCCCGACCACGGTCTGGGCGGGGGGGGCTTCAAGCAGGAACCCGAGGGCGGGGGCGCCCAGGCCGACAGCGGCGATGAGCAGCTGGAGGCCCGGGGCCCGAGCCAGAGCTGCGCGGCCCCCGGGACGCGCGCGTGCCCCGACGGCGAGGACGACTGCGGGGCCCTCTTCTCCCAGTACAGCAGCACCCTGTACGACGTGGCCATGGAGGCCGTGGCCCAGAGCCTGCTCGCGGGCCGCGGCGCCGGCTCCAGGAAGAAGTCGCCGGCCTGGAAGCACTTCTTCATCTCGCCCCGGGACAGCACGAAGGCCATCTGCATGTACTGCATGAAGGAGTTCAGCCGGGGCAAGAACGAGAAGGACCTGAGCACCAGCTGCCTCATGAGGCACGTCAGGCGCGCGCACCCCACGGTGCTCATCCCGGAGAACGGGAGCATGGCGGCCCTCGCCTCCTTCGCGGCGCCCTCGCTGCTGCTCCCGCCCCAGCCCGCCGACGGCGGCGACCTGAGCCCCCTCCTCTCCCCCGTCAAGCTTGCCCCCCAGGTGGCGTCCAAGGTCCCCTCCCCCGACCGGATGGCGGAGGAGACCGTGTCCGTGGTCTCTTCGGACGACGTCTCCCCCGACGTGCCCCTCTCCGACAAGTACGGCCGGGAGGAGGCCCTGGGGGGCCCTTCTGTGCCCCTCCCCGCGCTCCATTACGAAGAGGCCCTGGAGAACGGGGCCGAGAGGAGCCTCCCCGTGCCCAAGAGTGCGGCCGGCTCCCGCCGGCGCTCCGCGGTGTGGAAGCACTTCTACCTGTCCCCCCTGGACAGCTCCAAGGCCGTGTGCATCCACTGCATGAACGAGTTCAGCCGCGGCAAGAACGGCAAGGACCTGGGCACCAGCTGCCTCATCCGCCACATGTGGCGCGCCCACCGCTCCATCGTGCTGCAGGAGAACGGGGGCGGCCCCGGCATCCCGCCCCTGCACTCCACGCCCCCCACGCTGCTGCCCGCCCTGCCGCCCCCCGACACGGAGCCCAGCTCTGTGGCGTCGTCCCCGGGGAAGCTGATCCCAGAGTCCCCCTCGGCGTCGTCCTCCCCCGACCGGCTGCCCGAGGACCCGCAGTCGCACCTGACCCCCGGGGAGGCGCTGCTGGAGGACGTGGACGGGCTCGGGGAGGCGGCCCTGCTGTCGTCCCCGGAGAGGCGGCGGGTGGCCGGGCCGAGCCCTCGGCTGCCCGGCTCCGGCGCCGTGTTCCAGCAGAACAAACGGGTCATGAAGAGGCTCAAGTCCGAGGTCTGGCATCACTTCTCGCTGGCGCCCATGGACAGCCTCAAGGCCGTGTGCAGGTACTGCGGCTGCATTATCAGTCGGGGGAAGAAGGGGGACGTGGGCACCAGCTGTCTGATGAGACACCTGTCCAGGCGCCACCCTCAAGTTGTCGGGAGCCAGAAGGGTTTTCTGGGGGCCAGCTTGGCCAGTTCTCCGTATGCTACTCTGGCATCGGCAGAAAGTTCCTCCAGACTAACTGCCCTGCCAGCCGTGGTCACAAAAAATAATCCGGTTGTGTTTCCTGTCAACAGCAAAAAGACCTCAAAGTTGTGGAATCATTTCTCCATCTGCTCCGCAGACCCCACGAAAGTGGTGTGCCTGCACTGCGGCCGGACCATCAGCCGGGGCAAGAAGCCGACCAACCTGGGCACCAGCTGCCTCCTGAGACACCTGCAGCGGTTCCACGGCAGCGTGCTGAAGTCCGACGGCCCCGCGAGCGCCCGGCCCTCCTCCCCGGTGCTCCCCGGCCCCCTGGGCACCGAGGGGCCGGGAGCGTCCTCCTTCCACGCCGCCGCCGCCACCACCGAAAAGTTTTACGACTCTCACCCCGTTGCCAAAAAGATCACGAGTCTCGTGGCCGAGATGATCGCCCTTGACCTCCAGCCCTACTCCCTGGTGGACAGCGTGGGCTTCAGCAGGCTGCTCGGCTACCTGAACCCGCAGTACTCCCTGCCCTCCCCCGCCTACTTCTCCAGGACCGCCATCCCCGGCATGTACGACAGCGTGAGGCAGATCGTGCTGGCCCGCCTGAAGGAGGCCGAGGGCGGCGTGGTCCACTTCACCGCGGGGGTGTGGATGAGCAGCCAGACCCGGGAGTACCTGACGCTCACCGCCCACTGGGTCACCTTCGAGGCCTCCGCCCGGCCCCACTGCGAGGACCACCACGGCTCGGCCCTGCTCGGCGTGTCCCGGGTCGACTGTGACTGCAGCGGCAACAGCGTCCAGAAGCAGCTGGAGTGCTGGTGGGAGGCGTGGGTGACGGCCCCCGGCCTGCAGCTCGGCCTCACCGTGACCGACAACGCCAGCGTGGGCCGGACGCTGAGCGAGGGCGAGCGCGCCAGCGTGCCGTGCTTCAGCCACACCGTCAGCCTCATCGTGGGCGAGGCCCTCAAGAGCCAGCGGATGGTGCAGAACCTGCTGAGCATCGCCCGGAAGATCTGCGAGCGGGTGCACCGCTCGCCCCGCGCCAAGGAGAAGCTGGCCGAGCTGCAGAGGGAGTTCGAGCTGCCCCAGCACCACCTCATTCAGGACGTGCCCTCCAGGTGGAACACGTCCTTCCGCATGCTGGAGCGGCTCGTGGAGCAGAAGCGGGCGGTCAACGAGCTGTCGGTCGAGTGCGGCTTCCGCGAGCTCGTCAGCTGCGACCAGTGGGCCGTCATGCAGTCCGTGTGCCACGCCCTGAAGCCCTTCGACGCGGCCAGCCGCGAGATGAGCGCCCCCGCGTCCACGCTCAGCCAGGTCATCCCCATGATCCACATCCTCAGCAGGAAGGTCGAGATGCTCTTCGAGGAGACCATGGGCATCGACACCATGCTCAAGGCCCTGAAGGAGGCCGTGGTGAGCCGCCTGGCCGCCACCCTGCGCGACCCCAGGTACATCTTCGCCACGCTGCTCGACCCCCGCTACAAGGCCTCGCTGTTCTCCGAGGAGGAGGCCGAGCAGTACCGGCAGGATCTAATCAGGGAACTCGAAATGCTGAATTCTACCTCAGACCACATGCCTGTCCGCAACGGGCACGACCCGGGGGCCCCGCCCCAGGGCCCCTCGGGCGAGGAGAGCCTGTGGTCCCTCGTCGCCACGGTGAAGAAGCCGGGCCCGCTGGACAAGGCCCCGGTGCCCGAGGACATGGTGCTGGCCTACCTGGCGGAGGAGGTGCTGGAGCACAGCTGCGACCCCCTCACCTACTGGAACCTGAAGAGGGCGGCCTGGCCCGGCCTCTCCACGCTGGCCGTCCGCTTTCTGGGCTGCCCCCCGAGCATCGTCCCTTCGGAAAAGCTCTTTGACACACCCTCGGAGCACGGCGGCTTCGGCCCGTCCAGGCTCACGATGGAACACTTTGAAAAACTCGTCTTTCTGAAAGTGAATCTCCCCTTAATCTACTTCCAGTACTGACTCTCCGACGGAGCCGCCGCGCTGGAAGTTCCGGTGCTCGGGAGGCACCAGCCTGGTCACTCAGGGCCACGGGGGCCGCTCGCCCAGCCGCTGCAGCATCTGCTTGTGCCTTATTCCTGTGGCCGGGCCCCCTGGCCTCCCCGCGTGCGCTCGCGCACGTCCACTAGAGACGGCCTGTTACGTCAGTTATGAAATGCGATGATCAGGTTCTGGTTCCTAACTGTCGAGTTTTTTAAAAGTTGAGGGTTAGGGTTTGCTGTACTAGAGTGGCAGAGAAGACGTGAGCAGTTTTGTTCTGTAGGCTTTTTATTCCGATTATGTAAAACCCTCGAATCAGGTACTGTATTTTACTTAAAATCGCTTTAATTGCAACCAAGCAGCCTTGGCAGCTGTGGAATGAAATCTGTAAATAGGAGGTGGAGTCCAAGCCATCCTGACTCAGCAGCGTGGAGCTGCAGGCACCTAGCGTGCCGAGGACAGAATATTCCAGAAGGGAACTGTTTACTCCCACAGGGACGTGGCATTCGAAGACAGACCTGCGATCCCACGGCGGGCCCCAGAACGCCCGTTCCGGGGCGAGTCGGGAAGGAGCATTTCCCCGTTTCCTGTTTCGCATTCAGGTTTTCCGTGGTCAGTGAGCTCAGAGAATCCCACCCTGGGTCGCGGCCCCTGTGATGCAGGTTCTCCAGCCAGCAGGGCGCGTCACGCAGTCCCAGTCCCATGGGTCAGTGGCCAAGCCCCTGGCTCTGTGTCTCTCCACTGTGAAGCCAGCTTCTGAGTCGTGTGCCCTCGCCCCCAGTTTGATCACGGCCCTGGACCGGAGGCTTTCTCCACGGGGTGGCTGCTTCGGCGGGACGAGGGCAGCACCCTCACCGTCCAAGGGCAGCTGTAGATGTTGGACCTTTTTTTTTTTTTAAACTAGGGAAGATCCAGCCATCTTCTGGGATAGCTTAGAATCCCAAGGATATCAAAAATGAAGTATCCCTGTCAGATTCGTGTAACAACAGCCCGTCTTCAGTTTCATCTAGGGAAGGGTTTGTTGTCCCATTTCAAAACCAGTTAAATATCCCAGGTGAAACGAGTCACTTTTGCCTGTGACCTTTTAGAAAAGTTTTGGTAAAATACTGTATTATTAATCTGAACTTGAGTGTATTTATAAATGGTGAACACAGTTTCTGAAATTAAACTTTTTATTTGTCATTTTCTACTGCTGAGGACGTGGGCTTTCTGTTCTGAGGCCGGTGAGCAGCCGTGCTCTTTGGGGCCTGCCCGCCCGTCGGCCCCACGTGTGCGCATCATTCGGGGTTTCGCCTTCTGGAGCTGACGTGACTCACAGTCTGGGCTGGCTGTTCCATGCCTCCTTTTCAGAGCCCAGGATCAGCTTCAGGAGCTAGTCGTTTCCACGTGTGAACGAAGAGTTAAGTCCCTTCCCTTCCCCTTCTGATGTGGAGGCCGCAGTGGTGTCGGCCTGAGCCTCGCCAAGAACGACCAAGGCCAGGTAGCACTCAAGGCGGAGGGCGGGGGGGAGGGGTGAGAGGTCTGGGACTCACTGCTGGGCTGGGCACAGGGCCGGGCAGCCCAACAGCCATGTCTGTCGGTACTCCAGGAGACAGCCTGGGCAGCGCCAGTACCCTCTGCCTCTTCTCGGGAGCAGGTTCTGGGAGTTGAAGTGGGAAGCCGATGTTTGGGGCATGGTGGCTGCCAGCAGCAGGCCCAGCAGCATCTAGGTGAGACCCCCAAAAGGCAGGACAGTTCACACAGCCCTCCCCAAGCCCAACACTGCCATCCTAGGTCCCCTATGGCAAGTGACCTGCCCTCGACCACCTTTGTCCAGAGCAAAAGCACATTTTCTTGCAGTGCGAAGATCCAGAACTTCTGTCACTTTCCAGCCAGACACTTGAACGCAAGAAACTACCAGATGCAAGAAGGCGCCCCAGAAGCACAGCTGTCGAGGGCTGTCTGAAAAGGGCCGTGATACCTGAAAAGCAGAGGCCACACCCCCACTCTGGTCCTCAGAAGAACAAAGGCTGGACGTTGGCATTCGAGGGGTAATGATGGCTTCTGGCTGTGCAGTGCCAGAGACAGTCATCCGAGGCACAGTGCCCTCGAGTCAGGGTCTCCGAGTGTGCACAGCCCCTTCCCCCCAGCAGCTGTCCTCGGACACACTCCAGCTGACCCGCCATCTGGCCTTCTGCTGCGCCCGGCATTGCTCCCTTCCTGCCTCTCATTCTTCCCTCCTCTTGTTGCTGCTGAGGTGATGACGGGGTCACACACACTTGGCCATGATGCCTGCACACAGCCACCTCCAGGGGCTATGGGGCGCTCACTCGAGTGCAGCAGATCCTCACCTTGCAGTGCTCCAGAGTCGCATGAAGCCTCCAGAAGTTCCCACAGCACGTGGGAATCCCAGGGGGCAGACTCGGAGCTTCACGTGTAAGCTGCTGTTGGCTACCAAACTCCAGCCCCATCTCATTGTCTCGATCACATTTACCAGTTCCCTTGTCTGGGACAGACATTGCTCCCTCGGACCCCTTCTCAACACCCTTGGCCTCTGTCCCCACTTGCTGCCTGCTGGCAACCCCATGTCAAACTCCTTGACGTGGGAAGCCATCCAACAGGTGTGCAGCTTCCTCGGTACTCACTAATACCACAAGGAGATTCAGACAAATAATGCATCGGATGACGTGGGACTCTCGCCACCCGGACAGCCCCTGCTTTTAGCAAAGGCTGGTGACTCCCGAAGGGGGCTTGGTGGCAGGTTTGAGTCCGCTCCAGCTCTTGGCACAGTTGAGCCGCCTGGCACCCCGACCCTCAGCTGGCACCTGCACACGTGTATGACCCCAAGTACCAGCAGGCCAGGGAGGAGCAGAGAGGGGCTGTAACTCCCTGTCCATTCCATATTTCCAACGCAGACATATGAAAGCAGCCTCATGTCCAGGGGGAAATAAGGAGCGACTGGCTGTCTGGGAAGGACCATCAGCTTCACTCTACCCTTGACCCTCAGCAGAACAGCTCACACCCAGCAGTGCTCAGGGGTTACTCCAGGCTCTGCTCAGGAGTGCTCCTTGGTGGTATTCAGGACATGCACTACCAGGATAAAACCAGGGCTGCCCCTCTAATCTGGTGGGCTTAGGTGTCCGGTTTCCAGCCCAGAAAGTGACCACATAGAAGAAAGCGAGAAAGTATGGCACATTTAGAAGAGTCTAAGCTGTCCCCAAGAAAAGGTGGTGGGGAGCGGAGTGATAATACAGTGGGGAGGGCATTTGCCTTGCACACGGCCGACCCTGGTTTGATCCCCAGCATCCCATATGGTCCCCCGAGCACCGCCAGGAGTGATTCCTGAGTGCAGAGCCAGGAGCAACCCCTGAGCATCGCCGGGTGTGACCCAAAAAGAAAAAAAGAAAAAGAAGAGAAAAAGGCAGTGGTAGGTCAACCAGACCGACATCCTGGAGAGTTTTAAAGATGCTCCAGGAGGGGCTGGAGCAATAGCACGGTGGGTAGGGTGTTTGCCTTGCACACGGCCAACCCGGGTTCGATTTCCGGCATCGCATATGGTCCCCCGAGCACCTCCAGGGATAATTCCTGGGTGCAGAGCCAGGAGTAACCTCTGTGCATTGCCAGGTGTCACCCAAAAAGGAAAAAAGAAAAGATGCTCCAAGAATTAAAGGGAAATAAAAAAAAGTATAAGCAACATGGAAATCTTGATTAAAAAAAAAAAAGGAAAGAGGAATTGGTAGCTGGAAACTACAATTTCTGAGATGGAAATTTTACTAAGAGCACCCAGAGGCAAATTCCGGCAGGAAGAACCAACAAAGTCGCGGCTAGGAGGGCAAAACTATCTGCGATGAATAAAAAACAGGCTGACCGAAGAAGAGCCCGGGGAACCTGCCAGTGCTCGAGCACCAGGCCGGCCAGGCGTGTCGGGAGAGGAGGGAGGAGGAAACAAGGGGGTGTGTGTGTGTGTGATGATATAACGGGCAAGAAAAACCTCCACGTTTGATAGACATGAACACAAACGTCCAAGCAGACACACTGAACCGCAAGTGAAACGGGTGCACCTGGAGACACTCGGAGGCTGCTGAGACAAACCTTGAAGGCATGAGAGAACCATCACATCCACGGGCGCCTCAGGTGACCAACCCTAGTCATCAGAAGCGTGGGGGCCCGAAGACAATGGCTGGAGTGATGGCCCTGAAGGGAGGGCACTGCCTTGCACCTGCCCAGCCTGATTGGAGCCCCGGCGTCCCATATGGCCCTCCAAACCCTGCCGGGAGTGCTCCCTGAGTGCACAGCCAGGATCAGAGTAAGCCCTGAGCACTGCTGGGGGTGGGCCCAAAATGAAAACGGGAAAAAAACCCACAAACGCAGCTAGTAAGAAAACACGGAGTCGTTTATTCACAAGCTCCTGGGCATGTCCACACCCTCCCCTCTCGTCACGGGCAGGTCCTGCTGCCAGGGTTGTGGTGCATCCGCTCACGTGGCCCCGGGGGCACAAACAGCGTCCCTCGCACCCCACGTGCCTCCCTGGCCCGCAAGGCTGCGCTGCCCGTCCTGGCGAGCAGTGTGGTCGTGGGGCGGGCGGACATGCAGCCCGGGGCCCTGCCGGGGCGACCGCAGGTTCGTGGGAAGCTGCCACTCGCCCTCAGGAAGGCTCGGGGCGCCTCTCGAGAAGCACCAGCTTCCTCTGCAGGTTGACGTCGAAGGGAGGCAGTTTGGTGAGGTTCAGGGTCACCCCGCTTGTCCCCGAGATGCTGGCCAGGACCTGGTGCGTGTCCCGGTACAGGGCCAGGTGCGCGGGCACCGCCTCCATGAGGATGTGCGTGTAGTCCAGCATGCGCCCCTCCCCGGGCCGCACGTCCTCCCTCTTCTCATACCTGCGGGCAGAGGGCAAGCTGGCACCCGCGCCAGGGACCCCCGGCCGCCCTGCCCCGCAGCCCTGGACTCTACCTCCAGCCGCTGTTGACTTCCAGAAACCTCGACACGCCCGTCTGCGCCGCTGCCCCGTCGATGTGCAGGACGACATCTGCGGCACACGCGGCAGCAGCACCGTCAGGACCACGGCAGCCTCTGCCGGGGAAGCCCAACACCCCTGCCCCCGCGCCACCACTACCTGCGTGCAGGGGCACCAGCTCGTGCAGCCGCTGCATGGCCACGCCGCCAGGGTAGTTGAAGTGAGACACGTACAGGGCGGTGGCTGAGTATGCGGCGTTCACCGCCAGGTGTGCGACCACGAGCAAGGAGCTTGCCCCGTAGAGCCACGACTTCCTGGAGTTATTCAGCCTGGAGAGTGCGACAGACAGCAGTTGATGGGAGTGAGCAGCACCGGAGTGGGCCCTGGGACATCCCCCTCCCTGGCCCACTGGGCAGCCACGCCCGAACCTGCTCAGGCCCGCCTTACTTCCTGGGGCTTGAGATCACACCTCCCTGGGGTCTGCCCTGGGCACTGAAAGCCTGGGAGAAGCTGCTCCCTCCCGACCCTGGTGTCCCGAACACACACACACACACACACACACACAGATGCACGTGTACCACTGAACCTGCTCGCTCCAGGGCTGGAAGCCAGATGCGGGCCCCTCGCTCAGTCCTCCCATCAGGAGCACTCCCACCCTTCACTGGCAACCCCAAACCAGGACCCCACAGTCCCGCCTCCGCCCACCTGCTGCTGTCACCAGGCACCAGGGGACACTCAGGCCCACCTCCTGTTCCTGGAAGGTGTCCAACCCCCTCCGCCCCACCCCCCCGAACTGAGCCAGTCACCCGCATCAGTGCCCCCCACCCCCGCGCGGAGCTCGCCTTCGGGAACGAGGGTCCCCGCCAGCCCCTGCAGGCATTACACATAAGCGCAGCCCCTGGCGGCCACGACGTTGAGCACCGGGAACGTGTAGAGGATGAAGCGCAGCTCCTTGTGCGGGAGGAGGGAGTAGAGCGCCACGAAGCCCAGGGAGGCCAGCAGCAGCGGCCACGTCCTCCGGTCCACGGCGCCCAGCGGCACGAAGAGCAGGCTGCAGCCCAGGCCCCGGGGCAGGGCCGAGTAGAAGTACCACAGCGGAGGGGAGGTCTGGGGGCGCAGGCTAAGGAAGCCACGAGCCGGGCCCAGGGGGTGCTCCCCTCCCCCATTCCCACTGGGAAACCAGCCCTGGGGCGGGCGGGCGGTGGGATTCTCTTCCCTGGCATCCCACATGGTCCCCTGAGCCCCTCCAAGAGTCGTCTGAGCTCAGAGGCAGGAGTAAGCCCTAAGCACCACTCGAGGCAACCCGGAAACCAAAGATAAAGCTGGCATGGAAAACCGCTCCGAAGGAGGAAACGGTCCTAGAAGCGGCTGGCAGAGACCACCCGGGTTCCCGGGACCGGCCTCCCCACAGCCCCGGGACATGGGCGCAGCTGCTCCAGGAGCAGGTGGAGGCTGGACAGGGCAGACCGCGGGAGGAGGGGGCCATGTGCCTGGGGTCACACGCATGTCTCAGGGCCCCAGCCAGGCCCCGGGGCAGGAGCGTGGAGGATACTCCCCAGTTGGCACTCTTGTTGAGGACGGTGTTGTACCAGAGCACTGTTCCTTCCGGCCACAGGAGGCTGCGCCAGAAATAGGAGTCCACCGCGACGGTCAGGGCTGGGGGGGAAGCAGGGCCTCAGGGTGGGGCCACACCCACGCCGCCCACCCCCTCCGTTTCCTGCCCCGAGCCCGGCCGTCGCACTCACCCAGGCAGCAGACGCCGGCCGGCACGGCGCAGCGCAGGGCCCGGGTCACCGTCAGCCGCCCCGCCAGCAGCGCCAGGAGCGCCAGCAGCCCCAGGAACAGGCTCAGCTCGGCCCTGAACACCAGGACGGCGCAGGCCGAGAGCCAGATGAAGCGTGTCCAGCGGCCCTGCAGCCAGGCCACGAGCGCCAGCAGGACTGCAAGACGCGGCGGTTAGAAAGGGGGACCCCCGTGTCGGCCCCCGTGTCCCACCGCAACCGCCATGCGCCTGCCCCCGTCCCGGCCCCCAGCCCGCCGCGTACCCATGGGCAGCGCCAACACGTTGGGGAGTGTCCTCGTGCAGTAGAACATCAGGTGGAACTGTGTGGCCGTCACCCAGCAGAAGACAGTGGCCACTGTGGCCCCGAGCTGCCGTCTCACTTCTTTCTGCAGGGCCCAGAGGCTGAGGAGCACGCCCAGGCCGAGCACAGCTCTGACTGAGGGGAGCGAGGTGCATGAGCGGGGTGGGGCCCCCAGACCGGCCTTGCCCATTTCTGCTTGTCCTGGGGTGCCAGCTACAATGTGCACGGCACAGGCTGCCACGGAGCCACAGCCCAGGGCCAAGCAGGTGGCTCTGGTCGGCACCTGTCAGCCAGCGGCCAGGCTGGACAGCACCGACCCCCAGCCCAGCCTCTCTGCCATGTGGTCGAGGTCGAGGCAGGACGGCCCCGGGGCAGGCCGTCAGGCTGCAGAATGTGGGGGACAGGGACAGGCCCAGGGCTGATGCAAGGCCCTGCCACACGGCTGTGACCTTTCTGGGCGAGGCGCAGGGAGGAGCCCTGCCACGCCCCCGTCCGGGCCCCCTGCCCCCCAGAGTCAAGTGAGGGCATACGGCCACCGCCACACAGGGGAGCCCGTGGGCACCAAACCCAGAGCCGAGCCACTTTCTCCTTAGAAATGGGGCTCTTAAGCCAGGGGCTCCTGGAGATGCGGCCCTGAGAAGGGGTGGGGCGTGTACACGTGTCCACCCTGGCGTGGCCCCAGCTCGGGGGTGGGGGGGCACCCCCACCCCCAGGGCCCGGCCGCTGGGTGCCCTCCTGCCCCGGGCCAGCACCGCGGAAAGGCGCCTCACCTACGAGCTGGGAATAGAACTTGGACGCATCCATCAGGGACAGCAAGCCGACCACGGGGCTGGACAGTGCCGCCACCAGCAAGGGCCCGAGGAACGTGCGGGGCACCACGCCAGGGAACTCGTGGTGGTCGTACTGCAAGGAGACAGGCGGGTGTCCCGGGGGGTGGCCGCCGGCAGAGGGGCCCGGTCCGGCCTGACGTGGGGCGGGGCTCACCTGCTCCACGGCCAGGCGGTGGTACAGCAGGTCGTGTGTGGCCTGCAGGCTGAAGCTCTCCTCCACCTTGGTGTAGGGGCAGGCCAGCAGGTGCACCCCGGCCGCCGCCAGCAGCAGCAGCAGCAGCAGCAGTGGCTGCCCGCCCGCCCCCCTCCTGCCGGCGGCTCTGCGCCTGGCCGACATGTCCGATGGGAACACAGGCTCCGGGAGGGAGGTGCGGCCAGGGGCTGGGGGGGTCAGGGAGACCCTGGGCCGGGCTGGATCTGGAACACAGAACGGGGTGCTCAGAGGAGGCTGGGAGCAGCCCCAACACTCCCAGCACCACGGCAGGCTCCAGGGTGACAAGACTCCCGTCCCCCGCGGTCACTGGGCGTCGCGGGGAGCAGCAAGACCCCCCAGCCACCCGCTCTGGGGCACGATCCCCGCTTGGGCTGAGAGGGCGCGGGGCGAGCAGGACAGCAGAGTCCCTCTGGCTCGCCTGCCCGGGTGCTATGGGCATTTCCCGGGTGCAGCTGCCCTGTGGCCAGCTGGAGGTGGGCGCTACGGGCATTTCCCCACGCGGGGACGCCTGAAAACCAGAGGACCCGGGGACATGCTCGGGGTGCCGGGCGGGATCCAAATCCAACGACTGTGACGGCGCAGAGGAAACCCCCGGCCAGCAGGGCCCGTGGACAGGGGCTGACCGCCACCTGCCAGTGCTGGGTGGCCCCGGGACGTGGGGGCAGCGCGCTCCGGCTGCCCGCTGGCCCTGCCGGCCCTGCCGGCCCCGCTGGCCGCTGACCCCGCTGCCCTGCCGGCCCTGCCGGCCCCACTGGCCCCGCTGACCCCGCCGGCCCCTGCAATCGTGGGTCGCTGTCAGAACGTCGGGTGGTGCCGCTGCACCTGCGGGGCCCGGCGGGCCGAGCGTGGGGACCCCACGGCGGCTGCTGCAGAGCGGACCCCCCGCTGGACACGCGGCCCGCCCCGCCCGCCCGGCGACCCCCGGAGCCCCGGCCACGGCGGCGCGCGCTGACCTCGCCGGCCCCGGCGCCGTCCCTCGCTCGCTCGCAGCCCGCGGCCGGAAGCGGAACCGCAGGGCCGGAAGCGGGGCGCGCGCCCGCCCTCACCTAGCATGGCCGCCGGAGCGCGGCCGCCCTCGCCGCGAGGCCGCCCCTGCCCGGAGTAGAGATGGCCGCGGGGGCGGGGCTCGCGGGAGGAGGCGGGGCTCGCGGGAGGAGGCGGGGCGAGAGGGACCCCGCGGGCGCTGACTCGGGGCCCTCCTATTGGTCTGTTTCGTGGCGGCCGGCGATTGGGCCACCTGGAGACGGGGCGGCTCCTGCCGGCCAATGGCGGGGCCGGGGCTGGCGGCGGGCGGGGCCAAGCCCGGCGCCGTCAAGTAGCCCCGCGAACGGCCGGCGCGCGGAGGGTGCGGCCGCGGGCCGAGCTCGGCCGCTGTCGCCGCTGTCGCCGTCGCCGTCGCCGCTGTCGCTGCTGTCGCCGGAGCCCGCGCCCCGCCATGGGCCCGCCGGCCGGAGCCGCGCTGGGGCTGCTGCTGCTGCTGCTGCCGCCGCCGTCCCGCCCCGCGGACACGACGCCCACGCGCTGCCAGACGTGCCGGGCGCTGGTGGACAAGTTCGGCCAGGTGGGCCGGGGCTCGGGGGGCTGGTGGGCCGGGGCTCGGGGGGCTGGTGGGCCGGGGGCTCGGGGAGTCCGGGTGGGCCGGGGGCTGGGGGTCCGGGTGGGCCGGGGGCTCGGGGAGTCCGGGTGGGCCGGGGCTCGGGGGGCTGGTGGGCCGGGGGCTCGGGGGGCAGGTGGGCCGGGGGCTCAGGGAGTCCGGGTGGGCCGGGGGCTCGGGGGGCAGGTGGGCCGGGGGCTGGGGGGACAGGTGGACCGGGGGCTCGGGGAGTCCGGGTGGGCCGGGGGCTGGGGCGGCCGGGTGGGCCGGGGGTTCTGGGGGCTGGGTGGGGGGGTAGGTGGGGGCTGAGAGGGCTGCTGGTTGGGGAGGGAAGGGCTGGGGGGGACAGGTGGGCCAGGGTCTCGGGGGTCAGTTGGGGGGGGGCTCGGGGGGCTGGTGGGCCGGGGGCTCGGGGAGTCCGGGTGGGCCGGGGGCTGGGGGGGCCAGGTGGGCCAAGGGGTGGGGGGCAGGTGGGCTGGGGGCTCGGGGAGTCCGGGTGGGCGGGGGGCTGGGGGGGCCGGGTGGGCTGGGGGCTCGGGGAGTCCGGGTGGGCCGGGGGCTCGGGGGGCAGGTTGGCCGGGGGCTGGGGGGGACAGGTGGGCCGGGGGCTCGGGGAGTCCATGTGGGCCGGGGGCTGGGGGGGCCAGGTGGGCCAAGGGGTGGGGGGCAGGTGGGCTTGGGGCTCGGGGAGTCCATGTGGGCCGGGGGCTGGGGGGGCCAGGTGGGCCAAGGGGTGGGGGGCAGGTGGCTTGGGGGCTCGGGGAGTCCAGGTGGGCTGGGGGCTCGGGGGGCAGGTGGGCGGGGGGCAGGTTAGTGTGGTGGCAGCCCCCCACCGCGTGCTGAGCCCGACTCCCCCACTCGCAGGGCTTGGCCAGAACAGCCAACAAGAATTTCGGCGGCGGGAACACGGCGTGGGAGGAGAAGACCCTCTCCAAGTACGAGTTCAGGTGAGGCCGAGGGGGGGCCCTGCCCGCCCGCCTGCCCTCCTGCCCCCCCCCCCGCCCCGGCCGGGCGTGACCGGCCCTGTGCCACTTCAGCGAGGTCCGCCTGCTGGAGATCCTGGAGGGGCTGTGCGGGTCCAGCGACTTCGAGTGCAACGCCATGCTGGAGGAGAACGAGGAGCAGCTGGAGCGCTGGTGGCTGCGGCTGTGAGTCCCGGACCCCGACCCGAACCCCCGACCCCCGACTCTGACTCCCGACCTCGGACCCCTGACCCTGAACTCTGACCCCCGATCTCGGACCCCAGCCCCCCCAACTCGGACCCCCTGACCTTGGACCCCGACCTCAGACCCCGGACCCCCGACCTTGGACCCCCAACCCTGGACCCCCGGCCCCAACCCCGGACCCTGACCCCAGACCCCCAAACCCGGACCCTGACCCCGGACCCCCGACCCTGAACCCCCAACCCCAGACCCTGACCCCGGACCCCCGACCCTGGACCCTGACCCCGGACCCCCGACCCTGGACCCCCGACCCCGGACCCTGACCCCGGACCCCCGACCCTGGACCCTGACCCCGGACCCCCGACCCTGGACCCCCAACCCCAGACCCTGACCCCGGACCCCGGACCCTGACCCCAGACCCCCAACCCCGGACCCCCGCCCCGCACGCCCGTGGCTAACCGCGCCTCTCGGTCCCCAGGCAGAAGCAGCACCCCGACCTGCTGGAGTGGTTCTGTGTGCAAACGCTGAGGGTCTGCTGCTCCCCAGGAACCTACGGGCCGCTCTGCCAGGGTACGTGCTCCCGGGAGCATCAGGCCCCGCGGTCACTCTCTGAGGTCACCTCTGGGCGCCGGGGCCTCGGAGCCGCCCACCCCACCCCTGCTGGCCTTCAGGGAGGCCCTTCCTGCCTGGTCCGCGGATGGGGCCCCTGGAGCCCAGGAGGCTCGGGGTCACCGGCCAAAGGCCCCCCCACTGGCCAGAGCTGCCGCCTGCCCCCCTGCTCCTGGCTGTGGTGCTTGGGGGGGGGGGGGTCGTGCTGGCGTGCCCACAGCTCTCCCACACACACACACACACACACACACACACGGGGTCCCCGGTGGCCCCCAGACCCCTGCGGTTCCTCAGGCCAAAGGGGTCGGGGCCAGGGCTGGCCTTCCCGCGGTCTTGCTCTGAGCTGGACGCCCGTCCCGCAGAGTGCCCCGGGGGCGCCCAGAGGCCCTGCAGCGGGAACGGCCGCTGCAGCGGGGACGGCAGCCGCCAGGGGGACGGGTCCTGCCAGTGCCACGTGGGCTACACGGGGGAGCTCTGCCTCGACTGCATCGACGGCTACTTCAGCTCCCTGCGGAACCGGACGCACAGCGTCTGCACAGGTACCCGCCCCCCCCCCCCAGCCTCCCCTCCCCGGGCGCCTCCCGCCCTCCACACGTCCTGCCGGGCCGCCCCGCTCGCTGTCACTCCAGGGCCAGGTGCAGTGATGGGCACCAGCTCACGGGACGCAGGCGACAGGCGACGCCAGGTCCGGAGGCCGGGCCTCCACCGTCCAGCTCGGGGCCTGCGCTGGCCAGGCTGTCAGTAGGGCCCAGGGCCACCACGCCTTCCCGGCGTCCTCCGACTTCACAGGAACCAGGCGTTTGCTCAGCACTAGGCCAGTGTCCGTGCAAAGAGGCTAGCAGCCGTGTCCAGTCCCCTCCAGGCTAACAGCCGTGTCCTCCGCGGCCTCTTCAGCGAGGGACTCCAGGGGCGAGTCTGTCCTGGGCACGGTGGGCTGCCCGGATGCCCCCCGGGGAAGAGCGCCTTCTGGCCGACGGGGACGCGTCTCCTGCTGCCGCCCTTCCTGGCCTCTCCCTGGGGTCTGTTCCGGGTCGGGGACGCCGTGACTGCAGCCGCCTCACGGGCCCCCGCGCTGTCCCGCAGGCTGTGACGAATCGTGTAAGACCTGCACGGGCCCCAGCAACCGGGACTGCGGCCAGTGTGAAGTGGGCTGGGAGCGCCGGGACCAAGCCTGCCTGGGTGAGGGGCGCGCGCGGGAGGGGTGTGGCGTGAGAGGCGGGTGCGGGCTGTCCTCCGTGGTTGCGTTTTGTTGTGTGGCCACACCTGGCAGTGCTCAGGGGCCCCTGGGGGCTGCCAGAGACCGAACCCCTGTTGGCCACGAGCAGGACAAGCACCTGCCACTGTGCCGTCCCTTCGGCCCTGCCCCACCTCACGCCCCCACACGGAGGGTTGCCTGGTCTAGACGCCCGCACAGCCTCACCCCTGGGCGCCCTCCTGGCCTCGGGTGCCCTGCGTTCCCCCTGTGCTTCCTGAGGGGGCGGCAGGAGAGCCGGGAGTGAACCGGCCCCCCGTGTCCCTCGCGGCTCCGGGGCCTCACTGGCCACTCTGTGTTCCAGACGTGGACGAGTGTGCGGCCGAGACGCCCCCGTGCAACCAGAGCCAGTACTGCGAGAACGTCAGCGGGTCCTACACGTGCGAAGGTGTGGCCCCAGGGACGGCCCCCGAGGCCTGCCCAGCTCACGGCAAGGCGGGGCGCAGGCCCCCCACCGAAGAACAGGCCAGAAGCTCCAGGCGAGGAGCCCGTCGTTGCCTCTGGGGGTCTCGGTGGCGCGGGGCCCCCTGGTCCGTCCCCAGCCCGGTTCCCTCCTCTTCCCGGAACCCACCGTGCGGCCGCCCGGGCCCCTGCGCTCCCCCCGAGGTGGGGTCTCCGCACGCCGGCCTCGGGGTCCGCTCCGACACGTGCCCCTCTTGCTCCTAGACTGTGACCCCGCCTGTGTGGGCTGCACGGGGCGGGGCCCCCGAGCACTGTCTCGAGTGCGTCTCCGGCTACGCCAAGGAGGGCGGCAAGTGCACAGGTCAGTGTGGGCGCCCCCATGGGCGAGCCCCCGCCGGGCGCACGCGGCTGCCGCCCCCCGCGTGACCGGCGCCTGTTGCAGACGTGGACGAGTGCTCGCTGGCGGAGAAGGCTTGTCGCCGGAAGGACGAGAACTGCTACAACACCCCCGGGAGCTTCGTCTGCGTGTGCCCGGAAGGCTTCGAGGACACGGAGGATGCCTGCGTGCCCACCCCTGGGGCGGCGGCGGCAGCGGCAGGTGAGGGGCCCGAGGGGGCGGGGGCGCGGCCAGGGCACCCGGTGGGTGGCCACAACCTGTCCCTGGCCCACCCCGCTGCCTCGGCTCATTCTGGCGTCTGACAAGGACGTGGGGGGTCAGCTGGGCCGGGGGTCCCTTCCCCGCTGATGGGGCCTCCCGCACCCCAGAAGGACAGCAGGAAGTGGGGGTCCAGAAAGGGGCAGGGCCGAGTGGCCGCAGACAAGACGCTGCCGCCCTGCACCTCGGAGCAGCAGAGGGGGCGGAGTGTGTCAGGCCAGGGAAGGCGGGGTCCGGGCCAGAGCGTGGATGGCTGTGGGGGTGCCCCAGCCACGCGGCCCGAGGAAGCCCGCAGCCCACGCCCTGCTTCCCGACAGAAACCCCAGGAGAGAGCCCGCCCCCGCCAGCCCCCCGGGAAGAGCTGTGACCGCCCGTCCCCTAAGTTATTGCCTGGGCTGGGAAGCCGCCTCCGCCCGCGACATCTCCTGCCCGCCCGCGCCCGGCCATCCGGCAGATCGTCTATTTTGATACTGTTCTTTATAATAAAAGCGAGCGCTGCAGGACCCCTCCAGAGCGCGCGGTGTCTCGGGGGCGGGGGGAGGGAGCACTGCGGGTTTGACTGGGCCCCCCCACCACCCTCCCCAGGACACCTGCCTGGCCTGGTGCCGGGGACTGGCCTCTGCGCCAGCCACCAGGTGGCACTGTCAGCCCAGGTGGTTCCGGAGTCTCTGACCACCAGGGGGCAGCCCCCGCCCGCAGGGACCCTGCCCGGCTGGCCTGCCAGGCTGGGGCCCTGGAACTGGACAGGGCAGCGGGGATGGGCGTCCCCCCACACAGGTGTGGAGGCTCAGGAGGCTGGTGCGGGGGAGACCCCAGCCTGGGTGCTCACTGGGCACCTGTGGCCAGCAGGGGGCGATGTGTCCACGGGCCAGGACTCAGAGCCGCAGGTGCCCAGTGCCAGCCAGGTGTGGGCGGCAGGGCCGAGTCCAGGGGCCCCGCAGCTCTGCTCTGACCCCAGCGACTGCCCTTTCAGTCACCGGGGGCCGCGAGGGTGGGGGCCGGCTGCAGACACCCTTCCGGGGCCCCGCGACACACCACCTGCTCTTGGACGGTCACCTCCCTCCAGGCCCAGCCGTGGGGTCCCTGTCCCCGGGCCAACCCCCCCCCCCCGGCCTTCCTTTGCTGTCCACGGCTCCACCAGCCCTGCACCCCAGTGCCCCTGAGCCCTGCGGCCTCCCCGGGTGGGGCAGCCTGGCTGCGCCGTGAGGGGGCGAGGGACAGGGACCCCCCGTGGGTTGGAGCCGCTCCCAGCCCTGCCCTGTGGCCAGTGGGTGTGGCATGCGGTGGCTCCGGCCTGGACCCTGGCCAGGGCTCCTGGCCCAGCAGGTGCCGTGGGCAGTGGCCGCTGACGCCAGCCGGGGCAGCCGCGTAGGGACATCGCGTCAGTCTGCGGGGGCGGGGCTGGCGCCCTTCCAGCTGGGGGTGTGTCAGGAGGGGCACCGCGGGACACCCCCACCCGGGGCCGTCCAGGTGGCTGCACATGCGTCCCGCCCAGGCTCCTCGATCCTGGCACAGAGGGAGGGTGTCCACAGCGGCCCCCCCTCCTGGCCCCAGACCAAAGCCTTGACAGATACTGGCCCACCGCCTTCCTGCCCTTGGCTCCCGGACCCCAGCCACCCCCAGACCCCAGGGCTGCCCCGTCCAGCCCCTCCCGGTCCGCCCCCACCGAGCAGCCTGGCCACAGCCTAGGGGACCCCCACCTGAGAGGTCACCTGCTTCCCCGTCCCTCCCCCCACCCCCTCCCCTCCCTCCCCTCCCTCTGTCTCCTCCTGACCTGGCGTCCCAAGGGCACCCAGGGTGCAGGCTCACTCAGGTGCCCTTTGGCCCCGCAGGTGGGGCCTTAGTCGCACCCCCTGGGTACCTCACCCGCCCCGCCTGGCCCCTGTGCGTCCCTCTGAAGGGGGAGGGTGGGTGCCAGCGCTGGGGGTCTCGGCAGCAGGGTGCGCCCTCACCACTGGTGGGCACCAGCGGCCACGCCCTCTGGGTCTGGCCTGGCCCCTTCCCCATCTGGGACCCCCAGGCGCCCGTTCCCTGGGGAGACTGCCCCTGACTCGGGCGTGGGGGGTCCCGCCTGCTGTGCGGGGCGGCCGTGGGGGCTGGAGCGGGCTGGCGCGGGCTGGCGCGGGAGGAGAAAGGCCGGGCGCTGTTTACGGAAAGGGCCCGGCTCCTCGCACACAGGCCCTTTGTGGGAAAACAGGAAGCGAGGATTTCCAGGCCCCCTGGGGCCAGCGCCCGGCCGGCCAGCCGGCTTCCGCGCATTCTCACGCCGGCCGCCTGCCCGCCTGCGCCGAGCACGAGCCCCAGCCCCGAGAGCCGGGCTGTGGGGCTCTGGGCTCTGGGCTGGGGCAGCCAGGGCCCAGGACCCAGAACAGGGGCGAGGCCAGCGGGGGGGGGGGGGGGGCTGTCCAGTCCTGCCCACCCTCACCCAAGGCTCGCTGTGGTCTTGGGGTCAGAGCACTGTGCTGCTGCGCGGGCAGGCACGCACACGGCCCACAGCCTCACCTACACAAGCACACGCCCCATGTTCTCACACACACACACACACCCCCCATGTCCTCACACGCACACACATGCACACGCCCCACGCCGTCCTATACACACAGGCACACGCCCTACGTTGTCATGCACACGTGCAAATCCAGCACGTCTTCATACACGCACACATCCCACATCCTCACATACACACACACATGCACGTACCCCATGCCCTCACGTGCACACACTCAGATCCCACAGGGGAGCCCCCCCCACGCCAGCTCTCACCCCCAGGCACAGCTGAGCAGCCCCAGCTGTGCAGTGGCACAGGGCGCCTGGCACGGAGCGGTGCCGGCTGAGACGGTCCCAGCCCTCTCCTGCAGCGCCTCTGACGGCCTCTCCTACCCTCCAGCCCGTTGGGGTGCCCGAGGGCGGCCTGGGGGAGGCACCACACTCGGATCTGCCGAGCTCTGGTTGCTGGCTGGGGGTCTTTCTGTCCGCCCAGCCTGGTCCTGCCGGGTGAGAGCTGGGGCAGACACCTCCCCCAACACCCGCGGGAAACTGCTGACCCCGGCTCTAGGCTGGCACAGGGGTCCAGAGAGACCCAGGCGTGGACTCCAGCCCTCGCCTGCCCCCTCAGTCAGGAAGGTCTTGGAGGAACACAGGAAGTGACACTCCGTGAGGGGCAGTGGGGCCGGTACGGAGCCTGCAACAAGGAAGGGGGAGAGGAGCCCCTCCCCTCCACAGCCTGCGGGGGCAGAGCCAGGTGTGAGACCCCATGTCTCCTCCTGCTGTAGAGCTCTGGACCACCACCCCCCCCCCCAAGGACTTGCTGGTAGCCCCTTAGCTCAGGGGTGGGGATGAGTGAGAGTGAAGGCCGGAGCAACAGTGCCGTGGGCAGCGCACCCCAGGGTGTCTCTGAGCCAGCCAGAAGTAGTTTCTGAGCGAGTTCAGGGCCCGGAGGAAGCCCCCAGCACTGCCAGGCATGGGCCAGACCACCCACAGTGAGTGACTGACAGTGAACGGGCGATGAGTGAGTGACTGACTGAACGGCTGAATGAGTGATGGTGACAGTGAGTCAGAGGCCGAATGGGTGACAGTGACAGAATGAGTGAATGAGTGAATGGCCGAATGAGTGATAGGGAATGGGTGACGGTGACGGTGAATGAGTGAATGACTGAGGGGCTGAATGAGTGAGTGACTGAGTGAGTCGGAGGCTGAATGGGTGACAGTGACAGAATGAGTGAATGAGTGATCGGGAATGAGTGAATGAGTGACTGACTGGATGGTGAAGCCAGTGAATGGGGGGCTGTGAATGGGAGGGAGGGGGGAGGGGAGCCCAGGCCTCGGCCCACTGCTGACCCGGAACATTCCGGCACCCGGGCTGTGCGGGAGGGGAGAGGACCGAGTGCCGGGCGGGACTTCTCACAGCCGCGCCTCTGCCTCCCACAAAGGCGCAGCTGTTGGGCCGGGCCCGCAGGGCACTTACTGGACGCCCGTCTGGCCGGCAGCAGGCCCTGAGGGGCTGGACTGGCCCCTGGCAGCGAGGGCCCCTGGCTCCCGCAGCTGCCTGCCGGCACCCCTGCAGCCCGCTGTCAGCACCCAGGCCCCTGGCCTCAGGGGGAACCCTGTGAGGGCGGGGGGGGGGGGGGCACCCGCAGGCTGTGGCGTCCACCCAGCGGGATCAGGCCCTGCCCCGAGGCACGGTCCAGCTCCCCGGCCCGTCCCAGGCCATACAGAGCAGCCAGTGGAGGAAGGGGGTACCCGGGCTTGGGACGGGAGCCCAGGTCAGGGGTCTCACCAGCCTCCTTCAGGGCCAACTAATATGGGTGAGGGCCCAGAAGGCTGGGCAGTGGGCAGGGTGACCCCGGGTGGCCCCAGGTTGAGGCGGGCATGGTGGGGAGGACAGGAAAGGAAGGGACGAGCCAAGCCCCCCAAGAAGACATCCCCCAAAGCCTGCAGGACAGCAGGAAATGGACCTGGTGACCCGAGGCCCACAGAGGGACAGCGGGCTGCACAGGGGTCCCCACACTCAGGGGTCCCCACGCTTGGCCTCCAGGGGCTCAGCCCAGGTACAGCCTGGACGCCATGCCTGTGGCCAGGACTCTCAGGGGTCCCTGGAGGAGGCCCCGGAGGAGAGGGGGGGTGGGGCGTCAGGCTCCTGGGACACCGCAGGGCTGAGGGGCGGGGGGCGGGGGAGCGCGGCTGGACGCGTGAGAGAGATCCGGGTGCCCAGGGAGGCTCTCTGGGAGGCGGGTGGTCAGCAGGCTGAAGACGACAGCCCTGGGCCTCACTCCGCTCAGGCCAGAGCCAAGTCAGCCAGACACACACACCAAGACTCAGACACCCAAGCACACCTGCAGGGCCAGCAGCACCCTGGGGGCAGCATCAGTCACGCCGACGCCCCCACCACCCCACCCATCCTGAGAGGGCCATGGCCCACGCTGCCGGAGTGCGTGCCTGCGTGTGCGAGCCCATGTGTGTGCGTGTCTGTGTGTGTGAGACCACGTGTGCATGAGTTCATGTACATGAGTCTGTGTACGCATGAGTCTATGTGTGTGTGTCTTTGTGTGTATTTGAATCACTGTGAGTCCATGTGTGTGTGTGAGTCTGTGTCCGAGTGTATGCGTGAGTCTGTGTGTGTGAGCCCCCGGGTGCATGAGTTTGTGTGCGTGAGCCTGTGTACGTGTGAGTTCCTGTATGTGTGTCTTAGTGTGTGTGTCTTAGTGTGTATCTGAATCACTGTGAGTCCGTGTGTGTGTATGAGTCTGTGTGTTGAGTTTGTGTGTGAGTCTGTGTGTGAGTCCACGGGTGCGTGAGTTTGTGTGAGTCCATGTATGTGTGTCTTTGTGTGTATCTGAATCACTGTGAGCCCATGTGTGTGCGTGATTCTGATTCTGGGTGTGATTCTGTGTGTTGAGTCCATGTGTGAGTCTGCGTCGAGTGTATGCGTGAGTCTGTGTGTGTGAGCCCACGTGTGCGTGCGCCTGTGTATGCGT